CGCTCGGGTTGTGGACAGCTTTTCCTTGCGTGTTCAACTACTATATGCATATATATGGTTGCTCGTCATTGAGGCGACCGCGTAGCGCTCTGCTCGCGTCCCTCCGCGCGCACTCCGCCAGCGGTTGGGCCTGCGCACGATCTCGTCGGGGCCCCATATGCATGCGGTTGTGTCGCGCGTGTTGCCACGCGATGCAGTTACGTGCGGCACGATGGAGTTACGCGCTGCGAATTAGGACTACCATGAGGGCATGCCGATCGATATTCCAGGCCATCCGGCTTCCCGTTTAATTTCCGCGGCCATTATAACCTTAGTATCTTCAACCTTTTGATCGCGCCCCACAACACAAAAAGGACACCCACGACGACACATAGAGACGGGATGTCTAGAGGTGCTCCAATGGAGTTCGGCGAGCATAAAGTGGAGACCGATGCGAGGGAGACGGATCTCTCGGTGGTGTACACCATCAACCCGGCCATGATGGACGACTACATCAACACCGTTGAGCAGCTGCTTGCTGGAGACAAGTACAAGGTGGTCGGCATCGACATCTAGTACACCGCCGGTAGTCCCGGCATAGATCAGAAGGTTGTCGTTGCCTAGTTGTGCGTGCACCATCATGTCCTCATCTACCACTACTGCATGGCCAGAGAGACTTGCGACCGTTTCAACAGGTTTGTCAACAGCACCGACTACAAGTTCACCACGGTGGAAACCACCGACGATGTAAAAGCGCTCAGTCTTACGGGCTTGGCCTGCCAGAACCTTGTCGAAATCCGTGACCACTACAGGTTCTAGGGAAGCACGAAGAAGGACTCCCTGGTCGAACTCGCCTCGGCCATCATCGACCCCTATTACGAAAAGATGAAGCAGGATGCCTAGAGAACAAGCGCCGTATCCTGGCACAGGGACTGGATGCGGTGAATGGATGAACCTCACCTCAGGTTCGCGGCCAAGAGCGTGTACACATGCTACGAGATGCACAGGAGGATCGTTGACATGAGGAAGTGCCTCGTTACCCAAATCGACGAGTCCGGATCGAGCCACAAGCAGAGCAAGCGTCACAAGAAGTAGATGATGATCAGATGATCATTTATACTAGTTAATCATGCATGTAATATATAGTTTACTTTATTGGTGTGTGGAAGTGTCATGTGTGTAGTAGCCACCTATGAAATTATGCATGTAATAGTTTACTTTGGTGTGTGCAAATGCCATGGTTGTACTAGCCACCTATGTAATTGGATGTTTAATTTGGTTAATCATGCATGTAATATATATGTTGTTGTTCTGTCTGCAACCCCATTGCACAACACACACGTCATATTAGCAGCAACCGTTTGTGTTATTATCGGTCTTCGCACACATTTCTGATTACAGACCTGTTTGTCGCGTATCGCACACATCTTATTATATTGAACCGTTTATGTTCTCTTGTCTCAACATAAACAGTTCATCCGAGTGAATGTATATCGCACACACCTTGATCTGGCTGACCGTTTCTTTTGTGTTGCCTAATCACAAACAGTTCATCCTAGTGAATCATATGTTGTGTATCGCACACGCCTTCATCTGGCTGCCCGTTTCTTTTGTTACTCCTCATCGCAAATAGTTAATTGAACTGAACCGTATGCGCTGCATCGCACACACAACTAAAATCTGAACCATGTTTGATGCATCCGTCATCGCAAACGTTTTGAACATTTTTGACGGTTCTCTGGCACCACCGTTTGCGATTATTGCATCGCACACAATTTCTCGAAGGGTCTCTGATCGTAGTGCCGCGTTAGCAGCATCCTACACTAGTGATTGGAGCCTACGACGTTGAGGAACTTGCTTGTAGTTTCGGAATTTGTAGCAGCGGTATGTAAGTGGGGGCGATAGCATAGGTGAAGTTCAAAGTCTTGCCTTTTAGGGTGAAAATCCAAGGTCTAGCCTTAATTGGTTGTGCCTTGCAATGGTCTTGTTGAAGGCATTGTTCTGAGAGTGACGATTATCTCTGGGGTGAAAACCCAAGATCTACGATCAGGCGACGACGGCACTGGTGCATTGTTTCCTCCTTGGAGGTGTCGCTTTTAGAGAACCGGGACATCAGATGTTGTCTTGGTGGTGGTTGTGCTGCTACTGCAAGGCCTGGAACACTGTAGCGGGATTTTTTTAAGTTTCTGCTTTTTTGGTTGTGTGCATCCGTCATGTCATTAGGGCATTACGTTGTTGCAGAGGCTGGGTGTAATTGGTATTATCGCGATATTAATAAATACTCTTTTATAAAAAAATGGTATTAAGAGTGAAATATTGGTTTAAATATTTTTTATTGGCAGTAATATATTATATTTTAATAGCCATTCTAATACAAACATTGAAATTAATGAAATGCAGCTCGCCGCCCACCCAGCACCGTCGTATGGCCTGCGCACGTCGCACGAATTGAATAAAAAACAGTCGCATCGCTGGCCCACCGCCGGTCGACCACTATTGGGCCGGCCTAGCGCCCCCCGAGCGGCCAACTGTGGTGCGCGTCGCGGGATGCTAAGGTTTTGTACCACCTCGCCAAGCGAGGGGGCGTCGACCGGCTTAAATAGCCGGTGCCCTCCAACGTACTCAAGTTCCTTACAATGTTACAGCCGATGTACCGACTTGTTGGGCCCGGTTGACGCCGATGCAAAAGCTGAAACGCCCGTCACAGTCGCATGTTTGGGCTACATACTGACGGGCGTGGCGTAGAAAGTCAAGCCGATGGCCCGGGCGGGCAATTTAATATTGACAATACTGACGGGCGTAGAAAGTCAAGCCGATGGCCCGGGCGGGCAACTTTTTTAAAAAAATTAAACAAGTCAAAACACGCCGCTCAGTTACACACTAAATACTGTACAACAATAATATTGACAAATAACACTGTAAATGCTACTATATGGAATAACACATAATAAAACAATAGGTATAGTGCAGCATCAATGTTATACAAATAATACAGAGTGAAATAGGTCTCGTATACCAATGTCTGACATCAACACGGACAAGTTGATAGGCAAAAATCTTTATTACAAGGAAACAATTCATCAACGAAAATATAGAATAACTTTTGTCTTTCATTGAATTGTCGACATTAAGATATGTGATAATCTAGAAACGTTAACAAAACTGACTTCAACATACAAAAGCACGTACCTAGGATTTTGAGTACAGTTTCCCCTAAAATGACCTTTTGTTCCGCATATGCCAAGTAGGCGGTTGCTTCTCTCGTGGAAAGCTTTCGGTCTACCATTCTTAGTGATGTCAGGGCCATCCTTGCTGCGTCTTTGCTATTCTGCTTAGGTGCCCCTTTGCTAGAAACTTTCACTGCATCACCAACCAACACATGATCTCGATTAGGCTCAAATGCATTGTCATTCACAAACATGTGTTGACTATCAAACTTGTCCAATAAGAATGGTTTATGACATGCGACATGAGATGCTTCTGCAGATAGGATAGTCAACTCACTGTACCAAGCTCTCTCCCCAGTGCCTGCCAATCCCCAGGCAAACAGATTGCTAGTGTGCTTCCTGGGTTGTCCATCTCTAGCAGTTTTGGTGAACCATCGCAATACTAAACACTTAGGTATCTCACGTAAATCTAGCCGGGTCAAAACGTAAAGAATATGTTTGCAAGGATGACCTTTGCGATTTATACTTCGGCAGCTGCACTTCGCTGTTTCTTCGGAGTTACCCGGCGTATGGTCTACTTTGAATCTGATATCCCTGTTATTCTTCCATGCCACTATAAATCTCTGAGTGTCTGCTCTTCTCAGTCTTTCAAGGACCTCAAGCTCCCCTACCTTCTTCATATCTTGTTGCAAAATGTAAAAGGTCACCGCAATGAACTGACAGGCAGAGGCTTTCTCAATGTGTGTAACTCATCGAGTACTGATACTGGGACTGCCTGTGTGGCCGTGCATTCGTCGTACACCTCGTTTTCACGGAGCCGAACGATACAGCTCTCGTAGTGCACAATCATGTCAACAATGGTCATACCAGAGTCCAGATGCATGTGAAGGCATGAGTTCAGCTCCTCTGGTTAGTCCACATACTAAGGAAAATCCCACCAGCACTTTCTACTCAACCATGTTTTCATTTTCTCCGACTGCCATTTAGCTGTAAACGTCTGCCCATCTCTCCTCATAGACTGTGTAGTAGCTTTGAAGAAGAGACATGAACTCTTTTAGGAACTTGTGATGAAGGTGTTTCTGCATGTTCTTCTCGATATGCCACACGTTCGGAAGGACCTTCCTGATGGCCCTTATCATGGTTGCGTCTCCATCACGAATAAAGGATAGAATTTATTGACTCCAAATGAAGGATCAATAGGATACAAACATAATGAACACACACACGGCATCTGCATAATTAAGATGCACACAGCCAACATCAACGCACGCGCACACAAAAACAAGATCAGCTCCTATGTCTGTCTAAAAGAAGTACATGATCAAAATTGCCCAATGAAAAACAAGATCAGCTCACACCAACTATACATTTTTTGTTCATACAAAATGCATCAAATAAAAGAAGTACAGGATCATCAGCACACAGTAAGAACCCGCTGCATTTTTCCTTTCATGCAAAATGCATCCATCAACCAAAAGTAATGCATGATAATCAACTCACTGCAACGACAGTAAAAATACCACATCTACAAAGAAGTTAGCACCCACATCACGGGGATGAAAGAATGCCAGAAGACTGACAACGCAAAGACTACTACAACCAGCACCACTACTAAATTGTTTAGCCATTAAACGCAATGATTTCAGCAGTTCTGAATCCTAGAACTGCAAGGCAAAAACAGACAGGTCCCCCCCTGCCCTCTCGACAGAACAGAGCAAGTTTAACTAGCATAAGAAACACAAGAGCTGCTGAATTTCTCAACCTATATCTATCTATCTCTATATATGCAAAAGTAGGTGTCCAGTTTTGCTGTCATTGTGTCCGAGGTGGCCAAACTTCGGCGGAGGTGAACCCTCAAGACTCCTGCTTTGCGCGGACATCCGGGTGTCGCAGCAAATTATAGGCTGAATTGGCAGAAATATTGAGGCAGTTAGGCAGCAGACCAGTAAGCAATAACAATATAATGACAGGATCTGAAACAATATAAGTTTTTATGCACTATCAATTGTAGCATACTGTCAGAATTTTGTCCATAGGTTACAAACTTAGTATCTTCTCAGAGAAAATGAAATGAGATGACTCAACTTGATTTGGCTTTTTTGGTTCCATAATTTCTACTAGCCACGAAATGGACGAACTGAATTATCAGAATTAAGAAACGAAATGTGGAACTAGTAAGTAACTACTAGCTACAGAGTTCAGACAATCTTTTACCAAGTGTACACAGACTGATAAATCCATATGCATTGGCACCTAATTCCCATTCAACTATAATTTCCTACAAGGCTAAAACAGTTTCAGACAAGTCCAAAGTCCTAACACAACCTATCATAATATCCTTTCCAAGCTCGAAGGAGTTAGCAGTCACTAAAGTAAGACTCTAAATATGATGTTCGCACTAAACAGTATCTAATCCAACATCTGTGCACTCTGCAAAACAGATTCAAGACCAACAGTACATTTCTCGCCAAATGAGATCACTA